ATTATAGATAATGAAGCCCCTCAGCAAGGATAGCTTCAGATACAAATATAAGAAAAACAATAGATTTTTTTCGATTCTAGACCAGGTGCTTGAGACCTTGCCTGTTTCGTATTGGCCAGTTGACCCCCGCCAGGCTGAATCTTGCGGGTACTCGTGGAAGTAGAGGCAAGTGACGCTGTGGCTGCTACTGCCGCTGCAGTTGAGGCTCCTGCAGAAGTTGCCGCCGCAGAAGAACAGGAAGAAGAGACCGAGCTTCCTGAAGCAGCGCCCCGTGAGCTAGTTGGGCGATGGGCTGTAGTGCTGCCAGGAGCCACCATAGGGACGGGAGCTGGAGTCAGGCTCATCCTATTAGGAGAGGGGTACGGAGGAAAGCCATATGCCATAAGTGTGTATGAGTGCGGATGTGTACCTATATATGTGCATGTGTATGTGCGTACAGAAGGGTGAAAAGACTTAGAGAGAGTTCGTAACTAGACGGTTGAAGTGTCGCAACTCCAATTCAAACTTCGTCGGAATATAATATTGTCAGATATAAATATATTGCTTGCATGGATGTCGTAAATGTATATTTCGTTCGAATTATAAATTTACACTATGGTGAATGCCTAACGATGCATTGAAATGAGATGCATGTTGTCAAATTTACTACTAATGTATGATATTCTAAACAAGGCTCGGAGACACTTATTTTTTCTCGAAACAGGAGTAAGCTACTTGAAAACAAATATGCTCAAGTAAGAGATAATGATATGCTTTCTGAAGGATGTTAAGACAAATACGTGTAGAGCATATATATGATAATATATCACATTCTTTAAGAGTAAAAACTAAATAGAGTAAGATATGAGGGACAAAACAAGCAAAACTTGCATGAGTGGAATATTTCAATACAACTGAATGTGTAGATATAATGAGATAGACAATATAAAACAAAGATAAAAACATGAAGGCGCCTAGTGCAAATCAGCTTAATACAGCGTTTTTGTTCAGTGAAAGTGTGACCAATGTACAAATACTCAAGTATTATGCAAACTAGTAAAGGAAATAAAAATGGAGGGAAC